GCGGGAAGACACATTGGCTGAGTGGAGGGAGGGGGAACGCCGCGCGGATCCGTGCCACGCCGTATTCCCGTCGGAACCAGCATGGGAGGCGGCGACGGGAGTTGCGGAAGCATCGGCCGAGTGGAGGGAGGGGGGGCCCCGCGCGAATCCGCGCCGCGCCGTATTCCCGTCGGAACCAACATGGGAGGCGGCGACGGGAGTTGCGGAAGCATCGGCCGTGTGGAGGGAGGGGGAACGCCGCGCGGATCCGTGCCACGCCGTATTCCCGTCGGAACCAGCATGGGAGGCGGCGACGGGAGTTGCGGAAGCATCGGCCGAGTGGAGGGAGGGGGGCCCCGCGCGAATCCGCGCCGCGCCGTATTCCCGTCGGAACCAGCATGGGAGGCGGCGACGGGAGTTGCGGAAGCATCGGCCGAGTGGAGGGAGGGGGGCCCCGCGCGAATCCGCGCCGCGCCGTATTCCCGTCGGAACCAACATGGGAGGCGGCAGGGGGTGTCGCGGACGCTTCGCAGGGCGGTCGTCCGAGCCGCCAGTTCGTTTGCCCATTTGGATTAGGGCAGGTTGGTTTGGGACCTGACGTGGCTCTGTAAATGTTAGAGAAATATGGCGGTGATGAGGACGGAAATATTTCATGACGGAGGAATTTAAACAAGTAAATACCTAGGAGCCCCTCGTCATCATCTGGCGGAGAGCGGCCATGCTCATAATCTGCCCCAGGCAGGGCCGCTTTGGGATGCCATAGTTTACAGAGAAGAGGCCTGACGCCATAGGGACTTAGCATGGGAGGCGGGCTCGGCGTTTGGTCCATGGGGCCGTGTCAAAGGTCGCTGCCTGAAGAAAGAGTTGCCAGGCTGAGCCGCCGGGGCGGTGCGGCAGTTGCCCCGGGGCGCCGGAGGGCCTCGTGACCCTGTGCCCGGCCGGCTTCTTGTTTACCGGCGGTCCGCGCGCCGCGACAGCGGCCGTATGTCCACGGCCGTCGCGCGCCTTGCCCGCCGCTGTGAAGTAGCGCCGCGGCTTGCACTGGACTGGTCCGTCTTATTTTAGTTCCACCCAACATCCTTCAGCTCATTCCCCCGTTAAGAATTAGCCATGGATCGATAACTGCTAATATTTGGATAACACGTGCTTCAATATCGTTGCGCATCCGATGACTTCATTCTCCTGCAGGACTGACGCCTCGGCACCGGTGTCCACCGCGGACTGCAGTCCGAAAGAAGAACGCTCCGTTTCAACTCACCAATGCAAACCAGTCCCAATTGGGGAAATCCTGGTGAAGCCCAGTGTTGAGCGCTTCAGCACCAGTCCTTCTGCAAACAGCACCAGACATATATACACCCTCTCTAAGTCTGCTGCGGCAACCCATTCCAAATACATTTCTAGCACGACTTGGGCGGGCTGGGATCCGATGAAACACAGAATCCTACACTTGGAAAGGCGATATGGAAAGGATCGTCTGTTGTTCCAAAGGAGGCATGGGGCCTATAAAGACCTGCCTTTGCGTCAATCCTGCGTGTCTCAAGCCGTTCGCGATTTGCAACTATATGGCAGTATTGTGATAGGAAAGGCCATGCAGCATGCTGGGCATTTAGCGGATGACTGTGCATCATTTTCCGGTGAGCGGCGTACTGGCGGGGAGCAACGACTCGCAGGATTCCGCCCATGGCACCGCTAAGAAGGGCGCATGAAGAGGCCCAGGTTTCGATTCCGCTGAGCGAGCGGTGTTGAAGATTAGAAATCTGCAGGGTCGTAGCTGAGGGAGTCCAAAATCAAACTGGATCATTCCAGAGATCCCGACCGTGTTTTCGCCGCCCGATTGGTAATGATTGCTATACAACAGCGGCCCGTGCTCCAATATTCGAAAAAGTTCGAAACCCAAAGCTCGCCATCTCTGCCGAGTTGCATTCAGGAAGATGTGCAGTATATCTTGTCAGGAAAGCGGGGCGAAGCGTGGAACGAGTTCGCACACCTGACTTGTTTGACAAAGAACCTTCGGCAAACACGATAATACCGCAAGTCCTTGACTCGTCTGCGGACCGGGAGTCCATCCTTCGGTTGAAAATGGTCCGGTAATCCGGGGAACCATGAGCGGGGTCCCCGGGGTTTAGCGAAATGTCATCAAAGAAGCCGGAGGCGTCGGTCTCAACGCTGCGGAAATCTGCGGTATAAAGCTTATCAGCAAGGGACTGACGGAAGACGGCTGAAGACGTGCTTATGAACCGGCAGGATATCTTCAGCTCTCGCTCTGGCTTTTTATTAACTTTGCCTCGACAGCAGTCTATGCACATTGAGAGGCGCTCGGATATACGCCGCGTCCCACATGATGTCTGTTGCAAAACGGGCGATTTCGGAAGCGACATGCTTCAGGTCGCAACGGCGCTTAGAAGAACGGGGCAGGGATTTTAGCGCAAAGTTTTAGTATCAAAGCGGGGGTGCACACCGGTCGAAAATAAGACCGTCAACGGGTGGTGCCTGAAGCTGAAAGCGGTTGCAGGATGAGGAAAGTTGGCCTCACTCGGTGCGCGGGCGCCACTGGTGGCGCTTTGTTGGGCGCCCGGTGTCGCCGCCAGCTCACCGGCGGCTACTCCGTCCACGTCAGCGCATCGCCACGACCATCGCTCCAAATTCTCCTCCGCCATGCAACCCTGCTGTGACAAACGGTACACTCGTTCCCGACTGTCGCCTTCACTTTCGATATCATTGGTTGTGCCCGCTCCTACCCCACCGCCCTGATTCACGACATCTCCCGTTCACCGGCTGTTCACGTGGCGCTATACACGGTACGCATAGCTTTGTGTGAAGGATACCCCTGCTAATGCCCGGCCTTTTAGTGTTCCCCATACGAGCGACGATTCGGTGAAGCACAAGCGTTCGTCGTGACCAGTATGCGCACGCGCAACGCCTCGTCTTCGCTGTGACAACCAAGGCGAAACCCACGGGAGGGGTGGCGGCAGTTGTTCTGTGCGCTTCCCTCTTGCCGGGAGGCCCGGAGCGTCGACTGTCCTTTGACGTCGAGCTCGGGGCCGCAGCATCAATGACATTTTCGCCAAAGATGCTCCCGGGGCAGGTGCCACTCGTCACTCTAGTGGCTTCGTGGGTCCATCACCTGCTGCAGGTACGGGCGACAGAAGGGCGGCGGGGACGAGGAGAAGACAGGGCTGGTATTACGGACGTGGGTGAGTTGTTTTGTCGGTGCATGTGCGGACAAAGTTTAACGTGGCAATCAAAGGAGGTCGTTGGTTGCTTCATTACGTTCGGTCGACTTGATAGGCGACTGAGATCGGTGAAGGCCCGTCCATGTGAGTCATGGTCTTTTGGTGAAGGGCGTTATGTTCAAGTTCCCGAGTCAAGTTTGAACAGTCTAATTGGAGTGCAAGAGTAAGGGGTTCCGGCTGTGAGCGGTATGTTTTTCCTCAACATTTTGTAGCTTTAATGCGAAACACCCTCATCCGACAAGTCGATGCAGATCGGCCCAGGCGACCTTCGCCCGGCCCGCCGAGCATCGCCTCATCTACTGGACGCCGGTGTGGGCCCTCCTCGAGTCGACAAACAGAACGGATGCTGCGGGAGGGGCGGCGGCAGTTGTTCTGTGCGCTTCCCTCTTGCCGGGAGGCCCGGAGCGTCGACTATCCTTTGACGTCGAGCTCGGGGGCCGCAGCATCAATGACATTTTCGCCAAAGATGCTCCCGGGGCAGGTGCCACTCGTCACTCTAGTGGCTTCGTGGATCTATCACCTGCTGCAGGCTTGCCTCAGGAATTCGGGCGGAGGTGGACGGCGGCGTTGTGACGGACTATTCTTCGGGGAGATGGCCGGCCGAGCGTCGGATCCAACGACACCGTACGCCTCGGGGGCTGCGTACGCATTGGGAACAGAGGGCGGGCAGCTCGGCGGCTCACCGGAATCGCAGGAAAGGCGGAGCGGGGAGGTTGAGCGGTGTGTACGAAGCGGCGCCGGGATCAGGGGCCGCCGGTGCTGGGTCGGCGGGCAGAAGACCGGCGGCAATGGGTGAATACACGGGCGCTCACGCTGGATTGGTGTTCAGAATACCGGCGGGCGTGGATTGCGTGGCGGGAAATGGATGCCCGCGTCAACTACGCAGGCGCATGGGAGCCATCGATCTAGGCTTGAGGTATTGTAGAGCAGGGGTGGTGCGGCACATGAATTTGGAGGCAAGGGGTGGGGGGGAGGGGATTTGCAGGGTCGGTTGGTGCCAAAACGGCATATTACCGGCGGATTTCGGACGTATCTGGCTTTAAGTCTTCGATGGTTCGGTGTTCTTGTGGGTGGAGTGAAGGGAAGGCGCTCCGGTCGATTGGGTCGGGAGCTCTCATGCTACTCCTCGCGATATACATACATTTCGCTGTGTACGCGGTGCCATGCACCAGTGCTCCACGCCCGAATAATCTGTGTGGATCTCCTAGCCTTCCCGGTGTTCTTCGGGAGCAAGCTCCCTCACCGTGCATGTATCTACCACGGCGGTGCTTCGACCAGACAGAGTACCTGTGCCTTTGCGATGACGCCTGCAGCGTGTCGCCGGCGGCGGTGGATGCAGCATGGCGCAGCCCTCGTCGAATAGTTCAATCGCCCATATATCTGGATATCCCAGCTCAAGGTGAAATGTAATACAGCAACGTGTGGTATTTCTGCGAGTCAACCGACGGAGCCAGTTGACAATCATCAGGCACCGAAAGTTTGCCTCAAGTACGTTGCTCCGTCTCACATGGTCCGTCCGCAGGCTGCACCGCCGCGGAAGCGCCCTAACCCGCGGGGCGCCCGCGCCGAAAATAGGTGAAGTCGGGCGGCCAATGCTTCGGCGCGCCGCGGCCCGACTCACACCGGCGTTCTGAGGGCCGGCCCATCCCCGGCGCCGGCGTCCAAACTGCTCGGCGGCTCCACGCAGTCTTCAGCCCCGTCGCATCCCAGGCCTCGCCATCCTGTTCTCCATCTCGATCTCCATCCGATCCCCAACCTATCATGACACAAGCTGAGCAGCCATCCCCCATGACCGGCGAACAGGCCGCAGCAATGTCGGATCTCTCATCTCAACTTCACTACGCTTGGTATTACTATCAGGCGACCCTCATGAACGCGGACAGTCAAAAGACATACGACCTGGAGCTACGCTCCCTGATCATACGACTTAACCGGCAGTACGCACATTGGGGCGGCGCAAATCTTAAGTCCTTACCGTCTTTGGCCCTCGCTGCAATCTATGAAAATGATCGAGTTATAAAGATTCTCCGACGGAAGCTACGCCCCGGGCAGTATCTAAACGAAGCGCAAGTTCGAGACAACATCCTTGTTGCACACCTCATTCCGATCAAGGACGGCTCTTTACCGGGGCAGTTTGAAGGAGCAAGTAGAATTGCGCAAACCCCGGACGACGGCGGGTACGTGAAGCTTTTGCCCGAGGCTCAAGTTTCTAGCGCTTGGTGGAAGGACGCAGGTGGGCCTCGCTTCATGATTGCGATTGTATACATTTTATGAAAGGGGTGCAGATTGGTGGGTTAAGCAGGCGTTGAAACCGCCGATGCTGCGTTTCGCGATTAATGCGGCTGTACCACCGGGAAAGCACGCTCCCGGTAAGGCATCTATGCCATACATATACTGTAATCTGATTCAAAACCACGTGCAGACGACGACAGTCAGGGAGGTTTGGAGTCTGCAGCTGCCCCAAACCCGAGCACTTCCGGAACCGGCTCAGAAAGCAGTAAGACCCACCGCCTGCGTTTTAGTATACGTCTTTTAAACGTGCTTTTCAGCACCCTCCGGTATTTACACTGCCAGACCGACGAAAGCTCTCCCTCTGCGGCGCCGGGAAACTGCGAGCAACAAAACTGTTTTGACTAAATTTGTTGACAATGGGGGCGCAGCCAATTTTCTCGGCGGCGGTGAGCACACATGCGTCTGGAATTGGAGGGACTGCTGATGTATCCGATGCTACCAGCTGGAGTACAGTCGACCGTCACGGCGAGCGTAGGGCTGCCGCCTCAATCTGCGTCGTCCGCCGCTCCCAGCCGGCCGCCAAGCCCGCAACCCTTACGCCCAAGCGAATCGAAGAAACGAGGTCGCGATAAGGCTACCTGCCCGCCCTCATCACAGAATGGTCGTCCAGATGGGTGCAAAAAACCGCGAATGTACTTGGATCGCATTAAAGAGGAAGAACCGAATACTACCGATGAAGCCCCGCAGCAAGGGCCAATCTGGGGTGCTAACCGGCGCGCACTCGACATCACCGGACCCTTCGCGTTTCTCCGCGAGACTGATTCCCGAACGTTAGGGCAAACAAACGACTCAGTAGACAGACCCTTTCAGAACGGCGAGACCGAAAGAGGGGACGCCGCTTCAAAGCAGCAGCCCGCGCAAACCTTGAGCCAGTTTCACACCAGGCCGCGCACACGCCTCCAACTACGGAAGGCGGCAACTACGACAGCGGGGGGTAATATGGCACCTGATAGGTAGGGTCTCCTTTTGATTTGATTCGAGGAGAAGCCAAACTTACGGCGACACAGCGCTGTAGTAGGCGGGGATCCCTTGATACCTCCACTTTCCAATCTTTCATCGCAGGCCCAAGGTAACATTTACCTTCCACGAAAATGTTTTTAATATCAATGTTATTCCCTGTTGAAGCAGACATGCCGGAAGACTGGGCTAAGCGACGAGCATCGGCTCCACCGGGTGAGCGGCCTTTCTACATCTTTCACCCCGGTCACATTCATTGTTTTTAGGGCGATCTTGGCGTAACTTACGACCCGCAGGTCTCCAACCAATCAATCCTTACGAAGAGGATCGTAAGATCGCCGTCGATCGCCGAGGGAGCGGCGTAGCAAGAGATCCTCAGAACGCCCCTCAGCCCGAAATCGGACGCCAGTACGAACCTGCAGCGGTTTCAGGACTGACGCCGCCACAACGTGGAGCCGGGGAAATCGCTCAGCGATCCGTACCCGGGAGAGCAGACATGACATTTGAGGAGAGGTCCGAGATTGTAGGAGGAGAAGCCGAGGAACACCTTCGAGATGGCAAGGACGAGATGCGATCAAGTGGACACGTTGCGGATCCGGGGATTCAGCCCCCAGCCCAAGCAGCAATCGATCCAGATATCGACCTTCGGATTCAAGTCTCACGCCATCTGCAGCTGCAACTTCAAACTTTCCAGCGTTCCGCAGATGTACAAGCGGCCCGCTGGTCTCCAACGGATAAACCGTCGGTGAGCCTGAGAAGCTATTTCGGTTGCTCAAAAGATCTGACCTGCAACCAAGGTCGCTTTCATGCCAGGGCGAGATGTTTATAGATCCATTGCGCTGGCGTACAGAAGATTGCAAGACGTTCTAATCCGGTTGCAAGTCTTGTTCAGCGGCCAAAATCGCCCGTTATCATGCCTTCAGCTCTACCACGATGTGCAGTCCCTGATGGAGCAGCTCGATGGGGTCGCAAAGGCCATAGCCGTCGAAGCAAAGTTGCGACGGTACGACGGATCTCGGAGCGTAATGAATTTTCAGGGTGAGTACACCGCATCGATCTCACATGCAAAGCCCCTCAAAAAAGGTAATTTCTGTATGCCCAGGGCAAGAGATTACGACACCAGGGGCCCGCGGTCGATCTCTATCCGGAACGGTCGGGGTCCGTCAGCTATCCGTGGCAGGCGATATACTCCTGGCATCTGGCGCATACAGTACTGGGAGCCTCGACGATCAGCTCTACGCAAGGGAACGGCTCATGATGAATCACCCCTCTCTCGCTGAAGCCGACGTGTCATGGGAGAAGGCTGCAGATATTATCGCCGGCTCGACCAAAGAAGCATCCGGATCTGCATCCGCTGCCATCCGCTGGGCCGTAGACATCGCACGAGAGGTACAGCGCCTCAAGGAATTCTTTCACACCCAGGGTGGGTGGCAAGGACTGGGATACGATGGGGTTGAAGACTGCGGGGAGCCGTCGAGCGGTTTGGACCCCGACGCCGGGGCTGGGCCAGCCCTCAGAACGCGGCTGTGAGTCGGGCCGCGGCTGTGAGCGGTAGCAGCTGTAGTGATACGCAGTAGACCTCAGTACGGTGCGCTCGAGCAGAGTGCAAGACTGAGGGAGGCGCTGCGCGGGCGAGACGGTATAAGTGACAGACAGGACTGATGGCTACGGACCGGTGCACGTGTATGTAAGCAGGAACAGGAGAACGCGAGGCAAGCAGAAACGGAATGGTATCGTAGGATAGACCATGGCAGAGCGTAAGTCCGGGCGGCATCAAGACAATGGCTAGCGCGCATCGCGCGTGCTCCAACAGCGGCGCCGCAGCATTGCGCGCCCGACTTCACCTACTTTCGGCGCGGGTGCCCCGCGGGTTAGGGCGCTTCCGCGGCGGTGCAGCCTGCGGACGGACCATGTGAGACGGAGCAACGTACTTGAGGCAAACTTTCGATGCCTGATGATTGTCAACTGGCTCCGTCGGTTAACTCGCAGAAATACCACACGTTGCTGTATTACATTTCACCTTTGAAGTTAGCTTCTGCGCGGACAGCATGGCCTGTAGTCGTTCCATAGTCCAGGGCCCTACTTCGCGAAGGATGACCTGCTTGAGCTCGGTCATGTTGCCTATGTCTTCAGCGACGCGACTGTGTTCCCTCAGAAGGGACTCCAAGTTGCCCGGGTAAAAGGTCTGCAACCGGTCGGGGGCGGCGAGGAGGACGGGGAAATGAAGAAAATCCCGTTTGGAAAACATACGGAGTGCTAAGCGGTGAAGGTGTCGACCGCGATGAACCCCGTTATAGAACGAGGCCTTCCTTTGAAGCAGGTCGGAGCACGCGCTTGCTTTAAGAGCCTTGTCTGGATGGCTCCATCCCTCATCCTTCCGGTTCTTGCGAACGTTGAAGGACCTGAAAGCCTCCGGGATTGCCACGTAGTAGAGTCTCTTTGCACAGGAGGACACCGCGAGTGCGTCCTTCCTGTCCAAGAAGGAGAACACGACGAGAAAGATGTCGTCGTCAAGACCAGGGATGGAGGTCATATCTGGGCGAGTATGAGGAAGAGATGTTTGAGTCTTTGAAATAGACTATCGAACGATTACAGGCCATGATGTCCGCGCAGAAGCTAACTTCCCTTGCTCTCACGTTTTACGGATGGTGGTACTCAGCCGTTGACGACGCATTCGACCTGAACACTCTCGCCGCCTTCGTCTCCTCCTCTCCGACATTGCGCTCCTTGAGCATATGTTCCCTAGACGTCCCGGCCATCCCTCAAGCCGATCCCTCATCCCCCATCACATCGCTGAAGCAACTGTCGCTCATCTGCCTTCCTGACGTTGCCGCCGCGCTCATCAACCTCTGCGACACCCTCAACACGTGTGCTGTCGAGCTGGCGGGGCCTTCCGCGCCGCTTTTCGACATCCCGGCAGCAGGTGGAACGCTCGTCCACCTTGCGGAGCTTCACGTCCTCTCCTGCATCGACATTCCGGCGGGGACAGTCATGCGCGTGGGTGAAGTTGGGTTGATATCGTTGGGCGGCACCATCACCCCCTTGTCCGGCATCGACGACGTGCGGCCGCTCGTCCCTCTTCTTCAGTCGGCCCGGCCCATCGCCGTGGAGGTATTCTCAGCAGGCGAGTTGACGGACGGGGAACAAATGTGGCACGGACTGTTTCAAGGCGCCCCTCGCCTACGCTACTTGGAGATCACCGTGACAGATGGGGATTGCAACATCGCCGATTACAAGGTCGGTATAGAGTCCCCGCCTATCTCACTCCTCCGTAGCTTTGCTTACTATCGTTTTATCGCGCACGACGCCCCGCACAGGCGATGCTGCTGGCTGCGCTCAGGTGTACAGCCATCAGCTACCTTAATCTCTATTGTCTTCCAGGATGTGGACCACTCCCGGTGGATATGCTCCGGGGTGATGTTACGCCTGAAGAGGAGGAGTCTCACCGCGAAGCCGAGAGGGTTTTCGCCGAGGGGCTGGCGTCAATCCCGTACGAGTTAGCCGCGGGTCTGCCGGCGCTGCGGGTCATCGCGATGTCTCACAGCCGAGCGATTGAGGCCCGGGTCGCGGAAAACGAGATGTGGAACGGCGGATGGGGCGACGGGGAACGAGTCAACCTATCATGGCCCGACTCACGTTTATCTCGCGAATCGGCGAAGGGAACGCGGGTCGATCGGTGGTGGCGGGTCGAGGTGGACGGCTCGAACCGCAGGCCCGTCGAGATCTCGCGGGAAGAGGCCGAGGTTATGCGCGAGGAGATCCAGAGGGCAGACTTCGACATTGCGACGACGCTGAAGGGTAAGTACTTCTCATGCACCTTTGGTCTACGAGGCGGCTGATTTGGTATCTCGAAGCTTGTGCCGAAACAGCTGCCAAATTAGCTGCCGGCCGTCTGCTTCAGGCGCTGCGCTGAGGTGCGGTGGATCCGGTCCTTCGATGCCCATGCCGCAAGTCGCGCATTCCTGTAGTCATATTACACTCTTATATTGGATTATCGTCGCATATGGGAAGTGGACTTGTTGATGAGACTCACTATCGTGGCGGCCGGGAGGGGGTACAGGTATGCATCGCCGACGGTATTGCGCAAAACTGTCACCCAGACCCGACTCTCGGTTCCTGCCGCGCACCGTCCGAGCCAATCGGTTCCCATCAGTAACTTCCAAATTCCCTGAATCCCTGAATCCCCGGATTTCAGGGATTTCAGGGATCCAGGAGAACCGGGACCATATATAACAGGGCGCACAGGGCGACGCAGGGATCCAGGACGCCCGGCGCGGGCAGGGCTTCAGGCGTCACGGCGCCTCGCGCGGGATTCAGTACTCGGGCTGCTAAGCAGCCTAGTACAGTAGTTCGTGTAGGTGGTAATCTACGTACATGTCCAGATAGTACCTATTTTGAACGCATCTAAGGCGTCCAGAACTCGAGTTCGTTCATAAACGCTGATGAGGTGACATGCTCGAACAATGGAGGCAACGGGGATGACGTCGTACAACTCCCCGTGTTCGAGTCCGCCGGGATCACCGTCGCCGTCCTCTTCTCCGAGACGTGCGACAGGCACATAGGCCTCCTCCTCCACCCGTCGACCGCCCTGATGCAGGACGCCGCGCGGCCCAAGTACCACGTCGGGCACGGGTTCCGCCGCGCGAACGGCTCGCTCTGCGTCCACCAACTCGTCGCGCTCTGCGCCGACTGGCACGCGTTTGAGTTCAACGGGGAGCGCGTCCCCGCGGGCGCGACCTCTTCATCGCGGACGCGCCGCCCGCGCGCGAGCGCGACGAGCGGCTCGTGCTCTGCCACGCGCTGCATTGCCTGTGGCCCGCGCCACCGTTCCGGGTGCCGCACTGGCTGCTCGGACGGCTGGCGGCGCTCGGGCTGGAGCTGAGGCGGCCGAAGATCGTGAGCCATCCGACTGCGGAGGGGGAGCCGTTGCTGTGCATGTTGCGCTTCCAGAACTTGTGCGGGAGGGAGGCGGTCGAGATCGTCATGGGGACGTGTGACCGGTGCGTCTTGAGCGATGAAGAAGACGAGGAAGATGGTGGGTCTGAGGAGGCGTCATAACGAAGAGCGTGAGCGCGGTTGGATACGTGTGCGCGCAATGGAAGGGGCCGTGGGTGTCGACTTCACGGAGCGCAACAGCGGAGAGCGGAAGGGTGATATTGCGCGTACCTATGCCGATGAGCATGTCCTTGCCGGCGGGCTAGCTCGACAGCTGCCCACGGCCGTCAAGAACTCTGGAGGGGCCGCAGCGGTGGATCAGGATTCAGCGAACCAGCATACACCTGCGCGCGCGAAGACCCACCTTTCGTGAGGATCACAGTCAAGAGCCACGCCATCAGGCTCATGTTGCGGCTCGTACCCGGCTAGATCTTGCATAACGATTAGGTCCGCAGCGATGGAGCACACTCATGGGATGCTTACCTCGACTGTCCAACCGTGTCCTATCAGCGCCATGCTGTCCTGGCCGCCTCTCACTCAAGCGGAACTGCGTCTGACTTTGGAAAGGCAAGCGGTGCGCGGTCAGAATCGTGCGATGTGAGAGGACAGCCTGAGGCGCACACATCGTCCAGGAAAGAAGAGGTCGGGCACCACGAAGGTGCACGCACTGTGCGAGTTGCGCAAGCCCCACATGGGTACAGGTCGGGGTATCGGGTGCGAGAAGGTGGATGTGCATGAGGACGAAAGTAAACGTTTGAACACTCACATTTGGTCCGATATCTACACTTCGCATATGCCACGAAGAACCAAAGCCTAGGCCTTGTTGAATCGCATGTTTGAGCCATTCTTGCGCTCGGCGTGCCGGCGCTCCTACCGCAGTTACCTTCAAGGTATATTTAGAGGCGAGACGCGAGGGTGGGGGATTGAAGAACGGGAGTGGGTCAAGAAGAGATGAGAAAAGCGAGCATCGAGACGCGAAGAGCGCGGGCGCCAAATACGAGTCGCCTCTCACCTCCTCCCATCTGCGCGACTCGAGGGTCCGACGAATGCCCATATCCACACATCTCTGATCATACCTTGACGCTTCGACAGGCCCACTACACCCTTCCTCCGGCCGTGTGGGATAGTATATTATTGCGCAGATGTGCATACAATCAACACAAGGTGCGTTGTTTCTTTAAACCATCCAATATCCCGCTGAACGCCAAGCTCGAGCAGTTTCTCTGCCGGCACTTCAACGCTGAGACTGCACTTCTATACAACACCGGGTACTACGACGCCTACTTCTCCTTCTGGAAATCTGTCGTGCAAGTGGACGACATCAATCTCCTCGACGAGCTCACGCCCACCTCGCTCCGCGATGGTATCATCATCTCCCGCCGCCGCAATCCACGGTACGTCCTCGCACTTAAGGATGCTGGCACGCTCCGTGACGTCCTCGTGTGCCACCTCAGACTCCACAAATGCGTGCACACCATCATGCACTCGTTCAGCAAGGGCTGGGACATGCTTGGCGGTACGTCTGCGCTGCCTTCTCCTCCTTCACGGCCCGTCGTTGCTGAACCGTGTCTATCTTGTGCCAGCCTGGTGTTCTCTCCTGCCTCCACACCAACTACGGCAACACCACATGAGCTACAGTTCCGCGGGACGGCGTCATCAATGTTCTCCTTCCCGAGCCCCGGCAGCTCATCCCCACGCTCACGACTGTCGAATGGCATCCCTCCGGCATCGTACGTGG